AATTACTAGAAAATGTGATTTTTAAATCTAAATTAAGATTGGCTATGGAAAATGAAAGTCATTGCCAAGTAGAAAATATAGAACAAAAAGAAAAATTCTCTCTTCATGTATTTGTTGAAAATGTAGCAGGAAAAGAGTTAGGAAAGAGACCAGGTCATCTTGCGAATGGGAGATTTCTGGAAAGCCATGGGCTACTTCATATCTTGAGACACGGGAGATTCTGAATCAACATAGCAGATAATTTAATAGAATGTGTCACCAAGTTCACTATAGTGTTGAGAAAATTGTCTTAGTCTGCTCAGGCTGCTATAGCAAATACCATAGGCTTAACCAACAGACAATTCTTTTCCCTCCATTCTGGAGACTAGAAGTCCATGAGCAAGGTGCCAGCCAATTCCATTTCTGGTGAGAGCTCTCCTCCTAGCCTGTGGACAGCCAACTTCTGATTGTGTGCTCCCCTGAACTTTCCTGGGGACATGTGTCTACATAGAGAAAGAGAGAGCATGCTTTCTGATGTCTCTTTTTATAGACACTAATTCTATGGGGTCAGGTCCCCACTCTTAAACTGCCTCACTTCACTTGACTTCCTTAGAGGCTCTATCTCCTAATGCATTCACAATGGGGTTAGGACTTCAATATGTGTGTTTAGGGAGGATGCACACTTTCAGTCCTTAACAAGAGTGAACGTCTGTAGAGAGTGATCCAAACCACAGCCTAGAATTCTGTATTTTCCTTGTAAAGCTTATCTAGGTAAAAGGCTCTATTTTTATTAAAGACAGTGAGTAAACAAGAGTAAATGAGAAGACCTTGGGGTTTCAGCTTTGTGCTTGAACTTCATCCATTTTGTCTTTCACATCAGCATCTCAAATTTTCCCAACATGTTCAGGTTGTAACCCCTTTGATTAAGGAAATAAGGCTTGCCTTATCTTAACAGGCAATTAGTTTTTACAATTAAATAGAGTCATGATTAATGACCTTGCTAATTGTTCTTCCCTGGTGTGCACATTAATACAAGCAGTATGCTGGAAATGCTGAGGAACACTCGTTCTTTTGATCCTACTATGCTCCATCGTTGTAGATCCAAAGTTGACGGGGACTTCAACTCTGCACTTTAGAAGCTCAGAATCCAGTACAAATGATGTGTGAAGAGATATTTTACAACAAGGAAACATCTTATCAGTTTTCCTGATGTCTGGCACAGCAGCAACATAATGTACACCTTGGCCCATTAATTGCCAATAACCCCAGCAGGCCAGTGACTAAGAAAACAGCACCATGGACATACAGTAGAGATTCTGAATCATCGGTGGTATGAGTTTTCTAGAATGTTTTCAAAGCAGGGGAATGTATTTAAACTTTGGCACAATGGCCGAAACCAGTTTGGTTCAGTGGTAGAACGTCGGTCTGCAGACTGAGAGGTCCCGGGTTCGATTCTGGTCAAGGGCATGTACCTTGGTTGTGGGCACATCCCCGGTAGAGGGTGTGCAGGAGGCAGCTAGTCAATGTTTCTTTCTCATTCGACGTTTCTAGCTCTCTATCTCTCTCCCTTCTTCTCTGTAAAAAAATCAATAAAATATATATTTTTAAAAAACAAACAAACAAAAACTTTGGCACAATGAAAGAGAAGCCAGAATTTCATTCTAAAAGAAGCTGGGACAACATTTTCAATTGTCCAGTTAATTGGTTTTGTGTAAAGAAATCCTACCCATTTTCTTTAGGGGTCAATTTCTCTCTGAAGCCTCTTTCAGTTCTGACAGCTAGAAGTGGTCCTCTCAGAACACTCCAGGATTCTACTCCAATTCGAGGCTGTTTATCGTGTACTACTTTCTTACATAATTCCATTACTATCTATGGAGAGTTTTGCATTCTAAAGTCAAGTGTCAGAACTGTAGGATGTTAGAAAGTTCTCAGAAATATCTTTGGATTCAGCTTCTTCCATTTACAGATAAGAAAATTGAAGCCCATTAAAAGAATAGTCACTGAGAAATTAAGCCTCTCAGAGATGGTGGCATTTAACCACAGACTTATTGGGGGTAAAGGAAGTTGCTACAATATCTCAGGAGGGCACATGCCTGGCGTGTAGGTAAAAGGCCTCAGAGCCAGGAGGCTATGTAGCTGGAATAGAGACAGCAAGAGAGAGAGTAGAAGAAAACATGTTCCAGTGGTGGGGTTGGTGTCAAATCCTACAGGGCATGTTGGCTTACAGGCATTTCCTCTGAGGGAAATGGTAGCCATTGGAAGAGCTTGTTTTGTGTGTGTGTGTGTGTGTTTGGGGGATGTGTGTTATTGCTTTTTTTGGTCAGCTTTACTGAAGTATAATTTACTTAGAGTAAAATGTACTGATTTTAAGTGTACCATTTAATGACTTGTCAAATGCATATAGTTGAATAAAAAAGAAAATCATAATCGTGGTATAGAACAGCTTAATTATCCCCAAGTTCCCTCACATCCCTTTGGAGTCAATCTCTGTCTCTACTTCCAGCCCTTGGCAACCACTCATCTGATTTCTGTTCTTGTATTTTTGCTTTTTCCAGAAATTCATATAAGTGGAATCATACAGCATGTAACCTACATATCTGGCTTCTTTTAGAACCATGCTTTTGAGACTCATCCAAGTTATTGTATATATAAGTAATTCATTCTTTTTATTGTGGAGTATTCCATTGTATTGATGTACTCACTTGTTTGTTCATCTCACAGATGAAAAATATTTGGATTATTTCTGGGGTTATTATAAAGAAAGCTGCTATAAATACTCATGTATAAGGCTATGCAGAGTTTTTATTTTTCTTGGGTAAATTCTGTAGCAGTGGAATTTCTGGGTCATATGGGAGTTTCTGGATCATGTGGGAAGTAGAACAGTACTGGCATACAGCATACTTTGCTTCTGTGAGAAGGGGAATGTGGCCCATAGGAGCACTGCGATGCCAAGGAGAGTGGGAGACAGCCTCTCCGAGAGGCAGTGGCCTCCTCCCTCACTGTCAACAACTCCCATTCCTTCATCTCATAGCCTCTCTTTTGATCTTGCAGAGTTATTGGCAGCCCTAGGCATCAGTTCCCTGGGAAACAGACTACAGTTATCCCTGCTTGCAAAGTCCCTGGAAGGTTCCAAGGGGCTTTCCAACCTTAGACTTTGTTCCTTTATCCCATTTAAATCCACCTTCTCTGCTGAAGGAAATAAACCAACACAGTAAAGCTTGCTGATAGCTACTCCATCTGTATTATGGCACACAATGATGGCGGGAAGTTAAAGGTTTGATATATAGGTCTATTTTTTTATTGCCAGTCCCTGCCCCTGAAGAAAGTATTAAAATTTCCAGATGAGTAACCAAACAATAAATAGATGAGACAGTTGCTGTGAATATCTGATTTTTTGCATAATAATGAGATATTGCTGGATAATGCACTCTGCCATCCCCAGTTTGTCTAAATTATCATTTTGATTGGTCAAATACATAAGAAAGATATACCAATAAAGTCATGTCAAGTGCTCCATTGTAAATTGATGCAGGGTGGAGATTTCTGCAGGTCTGTGGTGAGGAGGGGGCAGGGAGAATCAGTTCTTCAGGAAGTAACTTTGGGTGAATGTTTCTTCAGCAAAATTCTAACCAATGCCCTGGCCAGGTGGCTCAGCTGGCTGGAGAGCCTTCCCATACACCAAAAGGCTGTGGGTTCCACTCCTGGTTAGGGCACATACCTGGATTGCGGATTCCATTTTGCCTCCCTGTCCTCCTCCTCATCGGGGTGCATATCAGAGGCAACTGATCAATGTTGCTCTCTCTCCCTCTCTCTCTAAAATTAAAAAACATAGCCTTGGGTGAGGATTTAAAAAAAGAATCCTAACTAAAAGCATCTGAAATCTTTGTTTTACCAAGGCCAGATGCATAAACATGAGTTAGTTTGTACCTTCTAAGGCCTTGTGTGTTGTTTTTGGAATTGAAAAGAAGAACCAAATTTAGAAAAGAAGGGTTGTTCTAGGACATCGAGGTTTGTTTTGTGTGGAACATTTTCCCCCTGGTTTTGCATCACTGAGCTATAACTTCAGAGTGTTGATAGAACTTTTGAAACAGAAAGGCCTGTCATTAGGGAATGTGATGTCAATACATCCCAATAGTTCTTTTTCCATTTAAAAAAAAAAAAAAGGAAGAATTCTATAGTTCCAAATTGGGGTGGAAACTAAAATTGCCTGAAGTACTCTGACTCACAACTACTCTTTCTTCTTGCTTATGTAACACTTGAACATTTTTAAAAAATATATATTTTATTGATTTTTTTACAGAGAGGAGGAGAGAGGGATAGAGAGCTAGAAACATCGATAAGAGAGAAACATGGACCGGCTGCCTCTTGCACACTCCCTACTGGGGATGTACCCACAACCAATGTACATGCCCTTGACCGGAATAGAACCTGGGACTGACGCTCTACCACTGAGCCAAACCGGTTTCGGCAACACTTGAACATTTTTTAATGTTTGGTAATATATCCTGGATTTTTGTTGTTAATCCTTACCAGAGGATACTTTCTCCACCAATTCCCAGAGAGAGTGGAAGAAAAGGAGAGAGACAGAGAGAGAGAGAAACATCGATGTGAGAGAGACACATTGATTGGTTGCCTACCATACGCATCCAGACTGGGACCAAGGATTGAGCCTACAGGGATGTGGGGTCCCCTGAGCACGAGGCCCCCTGGCCTGGCCAGATACCTCACAGTTGCCTCATTCCCTGCCACTCCCCACAGGGTGCGCCAGTCACAGCCATTCGGAAAGGGGAGGCAGCCTCGTGGGTGTTTTCCTGCGGCCGCACAGGGTCCAGGTCCCGACAGGGCGGGCAGCTGGTGAGTCCATGCTATCCCCAAAGTGCCAACGCCTGCCAGGGTCGGTATGCGTGGGGGTCTGGGACCGTCTCTGGGCTTACCACATCCCCCACTGTCACCAAATCCGTCACCTGTTCCCGCCCTACGAGAGGCCCTCGGGACCCGCTGTGGTTCTCCTCTCCTTCCTCCTTCATTCGTGCTTCAGGGTCTCCACTACTTCTAACTTCTCCAATCCGTTTGTTCTGATCCCCTGGTCTTCCCTAACCTTCCCTACCTCACCAGCCTCAACTTCCCAGGTGTCTGTCAGATCAACATCCAGCTCTAGATAGCGGCTCCCACATCTGTGGTTCTAATTCCAAAACACAGCTGACAAGCACTGCTGGACAAAAACCATTAAATCATGGCGACCAGGTCATCTACAGACCCACACTGCCCACTGTGAATTTGAATCCAACCTGGCAATGATTAATTTTATACTCTTTATATATACATTATATATATATATTATGTGTGTGTGTGTGTGTGTGTGTGTGTAGCTCTTTCAAGTACCCAAACATAGATTTGGTTGCTCACTTTCAGGAAGAACCCTTGCTCCTGACTTAATGAGCTCAATATCTTCTGTCTATAATAGGGGGAGAACTCAGTGAAGCAGGAACTGTAAATTCCTTAACATTTCAACATCACCTCCAGAGGCAGGAGCTTCTGACCAGAATCAAACCTGGAACCCCCTCAGTCCAAGGGCTGATGCTCTACCCATTGAGCCCAAATGGCCAGGGCATGAATTTAATTTTAAACTTTTTCTATCACTGGGTTGAACTGGCACTTTCATCTTTTATTCTGATTTAAGTTTTCTGTGGCCTGGCCTATAAACTCCATGAGTGAGGAGCTACATCTTGGCATGACTTATAAGCTATGGGGGATCTGCACATAGTAGGTGCTCAACAGAACACAGGCCTAGCACTCAGATAGTCTAGGATTGCTAAACACATCTCATGTTTTAAAATTTTTCAAAACAATAACCAAGCATACGATAATGCAGAATCTATTCAAATAAACATGGCAGTCATTTATCAAGCACCAACCATAGGCCATGCACCATACAGACATTTTTAACTCATTGACTGTGTACATCTTGTGAAGAGGAAACTCTTGCTCCTATTTTACAGGAAAAGAAACTGAGGCTCTAAAATGCTTGTTAGTTGGGTCAAGGTGACATGGTCAGTAGGTGAACTTGCATTCATCCCACTCTAAGATTCCTTTCTGTAAGCCACACATTCTTCCTGTTATAATGATTAAATTACATTACTCTGTGGAGATTAGCTGTTTCTAATCTCTGTTCAGCAACTGAGCTGACAAGCTCCCTGTCAGGAAGTCACCTCAGCTATGAAGATTGGGAATGGGCATCTTCAGAAATCCCATATATTTAGGGGGCTATTCACAAAGTTGAGCCAGCGAGCCTTTTAGACTTATGGAGCTGAGCTTTCCTGGAAGTTAGAGGCTGCACAAAGTCTTATAGAAGGATATTCTGCTGAAAGGAAAAAAAGCATGAAGGGAAAACTGGGACTTTCTTTAAAACAAACCTAATAATGCCGAGACCGGTTTGGCTCAATGGATAGAGCGTCAGCTTGGGGACTGAAGGGTCCCAGGTTCGATTCCAGTCAAGGGCATGTACCTTTGCGGGCATATCCCCAGTAGGGGGTGTGCAAGAGGCAGCTGATTGATGACTCTCTCTCATCGATGTTTCTAACTCTCTGTCTCTCTCCCTTCCTCTCCGTACAAAGTCAATAAAATATATTTTTTTTAAAAAACCTAATAATAATAATAATAATAAACCTGTAAAGAAATCCTTAGATGCATATAATTTGGACGTGTCTCAAAAATCTGTAGATTATATAATGTGATGAGTTTGGTATTGAAAGAAAACCATTGCAACCTCAAGGGAAGAATCTTTTGTTAGATTGATTTGCTATAATTAATTTGTTATTAATTAATGACACTTTGGGAATCATTTGAGGAAAAAGATACAAAATATGACCTAGACCAGGAATAATGTCTTTCCTGTATTAGTCTGTTACCGTTTTTCTGACAGAGACTATTTATAGCTCATTGCTTTAAGCTCCATATATTGTATCTCTATGCACCTCCCCACCCCCACTCTTTTCTTTTCACCAAATGAGTTTCTTGAAGGCATAGAGTACAATCTTCCAAGACTGAGCAAAATAAATGACCAGAGAAGGTAAATATAAATGTGGTATAATAAAAAAATAAATATGTGTTTTTTGCCCCTGCTTCCTAGCACAGAGCTTATAAAACCCTTGGAATTCATTGTCTTTTAAGTGCTAATGAGATGACTCATGGGGGGAACCCCTAGATAGCTTCTCAATGGAGGCTTGTCACCAGAAAAACCAACTAAGTGGTTATGGTATTAGAACTTTCAGTCCCACCTCTGGAGAGGGGAGAGGAGCTGGAGATTGAATTCAGTCACCAATGTTTAATGATTTAATTAACCAGGCCTATGTAAATAAGACTTCCATTAAAACCTCTAAATGATGGAATTCAGGGAGCTTCCAGATTGGTGCTGAGTACGGCACGCCCAGAGAAGGCATGAAAACTATGCACACTCCCCACCTCCAAATACCTTGGCCCTTGCCCTATGCATTTCTTCATTTAGCTGTTCCTGAGTTGTGTCCTTTATATTAAACCAGAGTGTTGTTCTAGCAAATTATTGAACATGAAGGGGTTGTTGTGGAACCCTCTGAATTTGCAATCAGCTGAGCAAGCAAAAGTGCAGGTAGCCTGGGGACACCATTTGCAGCTGGTGCTGAAGTGGGGGCAGTTTTGTGGGACTGAACCCTCTATCTCTGCATGGGGTCTACACTAGCTCTGGGGAGCTAGTCTCAGGATTAAATTGAATTGTAGGACACCCATTTAGTATTAGAGAATCAAAGAATTGGTTGTTTCTTTGAAAAGGGCACACCATTTGGTATTAGGAAAACATGATGTTTTAGTAATGGAGGAAGGAAGGAGGGAAAGAAGGAAGGAAGGAAGGAAGGAAGGAAGGAAGGAAGGAAGGAAGGAAGGAAGGAAGGAAGGAAGGAAGGAAAGACAGACCTTTGTTACCTAATGCTTTTTAGTCACAATAAATGAAAACCTGATTCATACTGACTTCAATAGTAAAGGGAGCTAACTGGTTTTGTGGCAAGCTGGTTTTGGCTCATGGACTATAATTTGACATCCCCATTTTAGCTCAGTGCTGCAAAACTATGAGATTTATGAAAAGAAGATGAAAATGCATTACCTGAACCAATAGATTGCATATTCACAATAAAATGTCATTCTAATTTGCATATAGGTTATGAAAGTTTAATTGTGTTTTTTTTTTTGTTCCTTTCACTAAACTTTGGATACCATTGAATGATCCAAAGTTTCTAGAATTCACACTTTTACTCTTAAACTTATAAAGATTTAAGCTTTTTGAAGAAACATGGAAGTGATTTCAGTCTATGGTCATCTTCAAGGTTAGACTGCATCTTTATTGAAGCTGGTGCAGGCTTAGAGTTCTTCCCCAAACTCAACATTTCCCTCTCAAGGTCACTTGCTCTCCACTAGCCCTATTTCCATCCATAAAGCCTTATTGCTAGTTGACCAGGATTGAATCTTCAGAGTCATTATATTATGAACATGCTATAGGAATCCTACTCAGTATGAGGGATTCTATGTTGTGGACCTGCCTCCGGAGTCCTGGGAATGGGCTATGACCTTTAGCTGGCCATATCTCCTTAGCTACAGTGATTAATTTAGAAATGGGCTGGTGACCCAAAGAGAAACAATCATACTTGTTCCTAGAACTTTGGTTAGAACTATTGGGTTGAATTGGGTTTCTGTTACTTGTGACCTAAAGAATCCTAACTAATTAAATTGCCATTTAATTCTTTTGAGTCTTACTTCTCCTTCCCAGCACCTCCCACTCCCACTATCTAGTTTGTCGCTATGTTCTCTAAATTACTGGCTATGTCTTTTAAACCCATCCCTTGCTCTCTTTTCTTAATTATTTCACCATCATCTACTTCTATTTATCACATTAACCTCAGTGGTTTTCTATTCAATAAATATTTTTTAAAATATATTTGTAATGATTTCAGAGAGGATGGGAGAGGGAGAGAGAGATAGAAGCACCAATGATGAGAGAGAATCATTGATTGGCTGACTCCTGAACATCCCATACTAGGGATCAGCCAGCCACCTGATATATGCCCTGACCGGGAATCGAACCATGACCTCCTGATTTATAGGTCAATGCTCAACCACTGAGCCACACTGTGCCCTGACTGGGAATCGAACCATGACCTCCTGATTTATAGGTCAATGCTCAACCACTGAGCCACACTGGCCTGGCCAATAAATAATTTTGAAGCTATTTGTTACAATGGCAGGAGAATAGATTGACAAGAGCACTGGATGCAGTCAGGCAGAACCTGGGTTTGAATTTCATTCAGCCCCTTATCAGAAAATGAAACTCCTTTAGATAATAGTTTCTTAGTTTGTATAATAAGAATTACCTCATAGGTTGATGTGAGGATTAAAGATGAATAATGTATGTGAATCAGAGAGTAAAATACACAGTCAGCGCCTTAGTAACAAGGGTTCCTATTGGGTGAAAGGAGCTATAAAAGATCTGACTGACATTCAGCTCTCCTTTCCATGGGCCTTGCTCCCATTCCACTCACCCTGCTCATCACTTCCTATTTACTGTGCAGCCTCATTGTTCATGAATTTCCTAAGACGGTCACTAGCCACACAGACTCTTCACTCTGGTCCCCAAAACCTTCCATCTTCTCTCTTCACCACGAGGCCTCTTTTCTACCAAGCTACCTCTTCGCTGTCTGACAAATACATTAGCTGAAGTACTTATGCTAATAAACTCGAGTTGGAGCTGTTAGCCTTCACTCAGTCCTAAACCCCAAATCCTCTCTTGGCCTGCTATTCCTCCTCTTCACCCTCCTTCTTCTCAGATCTCTCATAGAACCTGTTCTGCCATCTAGGTATGTTCTCCATGTGTGCCCTCCTCTCCTCTACCTGGAGCAGGGCTTGTTGGGTATGTTTGTTTAACCATTTCCCTGTTGCTCAACTCCTAGCACATGCCTAATGGTGTGCTTATGCCCAGTGTTCCATAAGCAAGACAGGCAGACTTTCAGAGCTAATGAATGAAGAGACCCAGGATCATAAGCACACTATTACTCAGGATTCAGTCTGGAAGACATAAATCAGACTAGATATTTAAAATACAATGAATTTACTACAGGGAGTCAGTTACATGGGTGTTTGTAGGCTTAGAGCACAAAAAAAGGAACACTGAGAAAATACCAAAATAGTAACTCAGGAAGCAGCTACCACTCCTGGGACCATGAAACAGAAGGGGAGAGGTTGCAGATATCAGAACCTCAGAGAGTAGAGAAGAGGCCACAGAGAGCTGAGATGCAGACCTGAGGAGGGGATGCTTCCCTGTTGATGCTAGTGCCCTGCATGGCCAGAAAGGGACCTTGAGGAACTGGTGCTCAGACTGGCACCACTCAGGCAGTCTGGTGAGGCTCGCTCTGGAGGTGCTGAAAAAAGGTGGAGGTTGGAGCCAACGCCACTGTGGGAGGGAAGCTGACAGAAACAGCAAAACCAGGAGGGAGGTTCCTTCTCTCCTCTCTCCTTCCAACATTCCTTTGGGACTTCTAGTTTGCAGGAACTCACAGGAACATTACAGCAACAAAAATTCTATTTACCGAGATAGAAAGTTACATCAATCTTATCCTTCCTCCCGCTCCTTGTTCCCTCTTTTATTTTTTTCTTCTTTCTCGAATCACATTGAAAGTAGAAAAATGGTACTTCCCCCACTTCTCATTCCTTTTATTATCTGACTGCGAGGGAATAAAAAGACACATAGGTCAGAAATTTTCTTTTAACTACAGGAACACATCCCTACTTAGATTTCATCTCAGCTGCCCTCATTCCCAAAAGATTTGAGTTAATCACAAATGGATCCAGGTTGGTAGGCTATACTTTGAGGCCCATCTTTATTTTCCAAAGGTAGGGGGTGGGGAGTGTTCCATTGTGACATTTTAGGTATCTGATCTGATGAGATTAAAGATATAAAAAATTCCTGTGATCATAGAGGGATATGTTGGGTTCTATTGAAGTGGTTTTCCCTGCTTCCCATCCACATAAGTTAAATAGAAGATAGTTTGGGAATAAAATGCAAGTTAGTAATGTAGTGAATCACAATTCACCAAAAGCTGGGAAGGGTAAGAGAAGTAAAAAGAAAATTATCTGCGAAAATTATCTTGTGTCTGAGACAGTTGGCTTAAAAGCAGAAGATGTTGGCTTAAAACCCTTTTGGTTTGCAGGCCTGAATGAGCTTGTAATATAGCCCCTGCGTCTGGAAAATCATGTGAGCTGCTGCCTTCAGTAACATGTGTCTTTATATTAAACCAACTTGTATCAGAGTCTATTGGGCATTGATACCACTTACTAGCCAAGTTAGCTTGAGCAAATTGGTTAAATGCCCTGTGCCTCAGTATTCCTATCTGTAAAATGAGCATAAGCACCACTCATAAGCTTGTTGTTAGGATTGAATGACCTAATATTTGTAAAGAACGTAAAATATATAGTAACTTGTTCCTGGTAAATGCTGTGTAGGTATTTACTAAATATTTAAAAGTGGCAGGGAAGTAGCTTGTGCCATTGATTGGTGGGGAAAAAAGAAGACTAAAAATGCCCCAATTTTGTACACTCACAACCCATATAATCTTATAAACCAGTGTCACCCCAATAAGTTTAATAAAAATGTTTTAAAAAGAAAAAAAGTGCTCCAATTTTTGTTAACCGCTCCTATGTGTCACACTGTGCACATGACTTTTCAGCAATTATAACATTTTGTCAACCTCCTATCTTAAGATCTAAGGAAAGGCCCACTTTGGGAGGATATGCAGAAAAAGAAGCAACAATTTCCCTTGCCATGGCAACCCTTTTTCAGACGGTGACCATTTGAGGGTTAGAAAATAGCATGAAAAAATAGGCCTTCCCTCTTCGAGTCTGCAATCTGTCCTGAAGAACTTAAAACTAAATTCCTTTCGGGCAGGACGATGTCTCACAGGTACTTTTACTTTGTTACTC